GTGTGGAGTGTTATTGATCAGGGCTCACGCAAGGTTTAACGTGTACTTGTCAGTGATAAAAACAGTAAGAGGCTTTGAGGTCACATGTAGGTTGAAAGCCTGGCTTTGCCACTAACAAGCAAGTTACCCTACCACTCAATTTTCGTCATCAGTGAAATGAGGATTATAGTCTTAAACATAGAGTTTCTGAGAAGATGGTCTTAGCAACAGTATGTGTCTTTTTGGGTTATTTAGAGGATTAAGTAAGATCATGTAAATCACTGGATGTAAATCACTCAGCACAGTGCCCGTTGCATGGTGCATTTTTCCTTGAGGCCTTTTCATATACTCAGTACTTAGCAGGGAAAGCATATTGTAATATGTAAAATTATAAAATTGTCAGTAACATATAAGTACAGTTATAAACATTTTGATTTCCATTTTTTACCAAAAAATTCACTTGCAGTTTTTTTTAAAAAATTTTTCTTGGAGTATAGTTGATTTACAATGTTGTGTTACTTTCTGCTGTATAGCAAAGTGAATCAGTTATGCATATACATAGAGCCACTCTTTTTTAGATTCTATTCCCATATAGGTCATATACAGAATATTGAGAAGAGTGCTATATAATTTATTTATTTATTTATTCATTCATTTATTTTTGGCTGCGTTGGGTCTTCGTTGCTGCACGCAGGCTTTCTCTAGTTGCGGCGAGCGGGACTATTCTTCCTTGCGGTGTGTAGGCTTCTCATTGTGGTGGCTTCTCTTGCTGCGGAGCACAGGCTCTAGCAACATGGGCTCATAGTTCTGGCTCACGGGCTTAGTTGCTCCACGGCATGTGTGATCTTCCCTGACGAGGGCTCGAACCCGTGTACCCTGCATTGGCAGGTGGATTCTTAACCACTGTGCCACCAGGGAAGCCCCCCTGTTTTGTATAGTAGGTCCTTATTAGTTATCTATTTTATATATAGTAGTGTGTATATGTCAATCCCAATCTCCCCAACCCCGCTTCCCCCCACCCCTGGTAACCATGTTTGTTTTCTACATCTGTGACTCTGTTTCACTTGTGGTTTTGAGGTTTGCTTTATTTTCTAAATTCAAAAGCAGAATAAAATACATTGCTTACACAGTAGTATAAAGCACCATAGAGGAAAATGTTTAATATGAAACAATTTTAAATAGATTCCTGTCTGGTTGAATCAAGATTGGTTATCCAAGAGAGATGATACCATTGATATCTGACAGCGGAACATATGGGGCTGTACTTGGAAGATGCAGCCAATCTGGGCGGAAGGTGAAACATTAATTGTCCTTCGGATGCTTTGCCCTCAACACATTTGTGGATGTAAAATTTATTTTTAGTTTTCACCCATGTGGATGGTACCAGGGATGCTCAACTCTTTTAGTTATAGGATTTCATTGAGTATAGGAACCCTTGAATTATCTGAGTTTTGTAGGGGAGGAAGAGTAGGCAAAGCGAGAGCCATCATGATGACAGCTGTGCAGAATTGAATGAGCATTTTAAAAAATGGCTCTTTCCATGGGTGACTGAAGTGAATTGGGAATTTAGGAAGAAGAGGGTTGTGGTGTGTATGGTGGAGGGCACGTTATTCTCAAAATCTCTTTCCCCTCCGCTACCCTCTTCCAGGCCACTGCAGTTAGAGCTGGTATTGCCACACGTCCATAGTCTTTCAGGCGAATAAAAGGAGGGACAGTGGGCATGGGTGGCTTCCATGACCAGTAGTTACAGCAAAGAGCTGCTTTGGGGAGTGGCTCACATCTTTTCTGCACTGGTGGCATCGAATGGGCTGTGTTCAGCCCACCGCTGGAGTGGGGACCAAAGTTAGGATCTCACTGATATTAGACCCAGGGGCTGATTTTTAAAAATAACTTTGAACTATTCTGCAGACCTGGGGAGAATGGCCACGGGGATGGGGTTTGGGGTGTAAAAAAGATGTGCCGCTCTAGATGCTTAAACTCAATAAGCTTTATACGTTCCTTCAAAAGGACAGCTAAAATGTCCAAGGGATAAAGGCAGCAGAGAAGTGACCGTGTGGATGTAGCATGAGAAAATGATTTATCAATTAAATTTTCCTTAAAGAAAACTAGCCTCTGAAGTTCTAAGATAAATACAAGTATCCTCCCCTCACCCTTAACTTCAGAGATGTACTTTGGACTGAAAACATGAACAGCTTCAAGTTTATAGATACATTCATAGATGACAGAGCATTTATGGGTCAGATGGTTCACATTTATCTTCAGTCACTGAGAACATCAAGAATGTAACCATTCACTCCCAGAAAATGTCTCACAGAACCTCAGAGGCAGAAAATAAGATATTAAACATGCAAACATGCAATGCTTGCAATTTTTAAAACTTACCATATTTGGGGATGGGAAAATATATTTTGCAAAAGCAAGTTATAGGGGTTTTTATATAGTCCTTGTTTTAAAAATTCAAGCAACAGGGCTTCCCTGGTGGCGCAGTGGTTGAGAGTCCGCCTGCTGATGCAGGGGACACAGGTTCGCGCCCCGGTCTGGGAAGATCCAGCCCGTGAGCCATGGCCGCTGAGCCTGTGCGTCCGTAGCCTGTGCTCCGCAACGGGAGAGGCCACAACAGTGAGAGGCCCGCGTACCGCAAAAAAAAAAAAAAAAAAAAAAAAAATTCAAGCAACAGACTTCCTTGACATACTTTAATAAGGCGTTAAGCAAAAATGTCAGTCTGAGTAGCTCCTACTCCCACTATTTCTCTACTCGTTTCTACACTCCTATCATCGACTCTAACAGCTACTGAAATTGAGACGGGTACTAAAGAGATAAGGTAAAATGGGCAGAAAATGGAGACATCCTTTAATCTCCAAGAGGAGAGGCAATTCAAACACCTACAGAGGCCAGGCAGGTAATGCAAACTGTCCAGGTTCATGAACACACAATGGTGCGAGCACAGTGATAAATGATGAGTGCTACTTGGTCTCCATGTTGGGGAGACAACACTGGGGAACATCAGATGCTTCCGCTGGGACTATAGGTCAAGGGCTGCCAGGTCTTCTACTTTTGGGGAAAAAAAAAAGAAGATGGAAATCTGGGAGTTTTGCTGCTCTCTCTGGATTATGAGATGTTGGTCTTTAATTAAGAAATTAAAATTATAAGCATGAGCCAAACAAAATAGAGGCGTTCTTGAGATGAGCCAATGTGGGGCATCTGATCTAAGCAAACATTTAAAGTAACTATGGATAGACCTAGAAAGCTCTGCACAAATCACACTACACACTCATAAGTTTAAGTTAACTCTCCCCATTCCACATCCCCATCCTCTCCCCCCATCAAAGAATCAGGATTACAACGTCCCCAGAACTCCTTTCTTTAGTTTATCTGTTTATATAGATGTGTGTATATCTTCAGTTAATCCTCACAATGTATAAGGTTCATCCAATTATCCTTATTTTCAGTTCAGGATCCTGAGGCAGAGAGATTAATCTACTCAGTTACAGAGCTATAAGCAGTGGAGCCCAGATTTGAATCAGGTAGGCTGGTTCCAGTCTGTGATTTAACTGTAACATTTAAAAATGTTACCATTTTCTACCTCTAGTAAATATTAACAAGTATTAATTTCAGCGGTCTCTCAGGTTATCACCTAGTTTGTTTGTTTTTTTTTTGCGGTACGCGGGCCTCTCACTGTTGTGGCCTCTCCCGTTGTGGAACACAGGCTCCGGACGCGCAGGCTCAGCGGCCATGACTTACGGGCCCAGCCGCTCCGTGGCATGTGGGATCTTCCCAGACCTGGGCACGAACCCGCGTCCCCTGCATCGGCAGGCGGACTCTCAACCACTGCGCCACCAGGGAAGCCCCCTGCCTAGTTTTAAGACCAACAAACCAACCATCAGGAGTTAGAGAGTCCAGGTCTTTCTCCCCAAAATGAGCCTTCAAACCCAACAGGGAGTGGTTTTCTTTCCCCCTCCTCTTGCTCCCTACTTGATCCCTAAGAGAAAGAGAATTACACTTCCTGGTTTGTAGATCTGTTTTTTTCTGAACCTATTTCCCGTCATCTTTATCTGGAGGTAAATGCAACTAGTCAGTTCATGTGTACTGGCACCCTTTTAATTTTTTGTCCAGAGTCCTGTTAATTCACATCACACAAGCAGTTATGTATCCAGACTCATAACTGCATCTACAAGCTGTTTGAAAATGCAATGAAAGAAGTGAGCCGTGTGAGAGGAAGCAGGATTAAGATGTTTTAAGTGCCAACACTTAACCTTCTATCTAGTGTTCGCCCATCTATCTCACCTCTCCCCGCCAAGCTCATGTGTGAATTATGATCATCCTTGTCAGTCCTGGTTTTTTTTTTTTTTTTTTTTTTTGCAGTATGCGGGCCTCTCACTGCTGTGGCCTCTCCCGTTGCGGAGCACAGGCTCCGGACACGCAGGCTCAGCAGCCATGGCTCGCGGGCCCAGCCGCTCCACGGCATGTGGGATCTTCCCAGACCGGGGCACGAACCCGTGTCCCCTGCATTGGCAGGCGGACTCTCAACCACTGCGCCACCAGGGAAGCCTGTCAGTCCTATATTTTACAGAAAAGAACACCCCTCCCTAAAAGACAGGATGACTGTTAACATAAATAAGGCTCCAAGTTGTCCTGCTGTATTGGATGTGTCCTTTACTGCCATAATGGAGCAAAAACATCTGGTACCTTTGTACTGATCCTAAGACCTGTTGGTATATTCAGTTTTACTGGGCACAGACTCCTGACTATTATTCACACAGAACATCAACATCTTAAGAACCACAGTAACATCCTTATTGATTTGGCAGTTTTTCCCAGGTTGGCAAATTCTCTTATAGGAATTTACTAAGTTTAATTTCCACAAATTAATTTGTAATCCGGTATTTGAAGCTGGAGCACGTTCCCTTATAGTCATTAAGTTTAAATCATAAAGTGATTGCAATCATACAATAAAACCAGTATAACACAATAAAAAGTAGTATTAGAGAAAGTATGTATGCAATACCATTAGCCAAACAAAATACACAGAACAAGAAATTTTTATTATCCTCAATGCTGGTGCATAACCACTAACAAGCTTAATTAGAGGAGGAGACAGAGGGAAACTTCAGATACCGAGGTGGATTTCTGGGCAGGTTTAAAACCTTTAAGGGTTGTTCATGAAGTCTTTTTTAGGTGTAGGGCTTTCCTTTTACTGGACAATTTTCACTTAACAGTTCTTACATTATGAAGTTCAACCAGAGTCTTTTGCCTGTAAAAAATGAAAAACAGAGAGCAAGTAAAACACAATATTTCTCTAGTATATACGGATGTTAGAAATAGTGTGTTTTCTTTGTACTTTCACATACACATTGATGTCTACATTTGAAACTTAATTATTAAGGACATCTTAATTTTTGACTTTTAAAAATGTTCAAGACAATGAATTTTCTTGAATTAAAGATTACAGTAGCTTTAAAAATGATCAAGATACATGTACAAACAAAATCTCAGATGCTCTTGGAAACACATTTTAAGATATAGCACACATGATACATATTTCTTTTGGGGTTTGATTATCCTTTCGGGATACTGAAGAATACTCGATTTATTTTACACTAAAAATTTAGCTTTTGATAACCACGGCTTGGATAGATCACAAAATGGAACCTGACAGTTTTCTCAATATGCTTTCAGTCCAAATAACTCAAAAAACATCTCATGTCCTAAGCTGGATAAATTAGTTACTTTTCCTCATATAATTAATATCAGTGGGCTCTTGTACTGGCAGTCTATCTTGGTCATGACTTACTCTTGCAAAGCCATCCCTTACAGGAACATATATTTTCCTCAATGCAAGGAAATTAAATCTGGATCAATAACAAAGTCAAAGCCATAAATGTTTCAGGACATTCTTGAAGACAGGTTTCAACAGTATTTAGATCCTTTTTCTTTAACAATTTCCTTTTTCATAACTGTGCAGTCGCTACTTTATTCTACAAAAAAAAAAAAATTTTTTTTTTTTGAAGACCAAGTTTTTCATTGGCACGGAACTATTTGGAATGAACCCAAGAGACAGTGGAATGCCAGGTCTCTCCTCAAGTAGTTTCCTCCTCTCTTCACAGCGTTTAACTACTCTCTATCAATAATCTCATCACAGCCGAGCTCTTCGGTCAGACGATTGACAACCATGAGTGAAAAAAGCTCTTCGATAAAAGCCAACTGATCAAACGGGGTCTTCTCATAATGCATCTGAAACCCGCCATCCAGAGCTGCTTCTCTTGCTCTGGAGGTTCTCAAAAACATCTTGTTGGCTTCTTCAAGGGCCGCTGATACTCTGTAGCCTGCACCACTCAGCTGCTCCTCTTCCGGATAGTCGTAGTCGTCCTCCCAGTCATCGAATTCCTCGCCCTCGTCCTCGCTCTCGAAATCAGGGCCCGCGATCTGGCCTGGCTGCTCCCCAGGGCCGGGCCGGCTAGCGAGGCCTCGCTGCCCCAGCGGCTCCGCCATTGGTTGGGCGGCCTCCTCCTCCATCGGGCCTTCCTCCTCCAGCTGTGGCTGGGCCCCGGCGCGGGAGGGGTTCAGGGATGGCTCCCGGCTCCCGCCGCCTACCTCCATCTGCGGAAGGTCACTCTCGCCAGGCATCACATCCATCTGTAGGTCATTGCTTTCCTCATAGAGCTCGGACAGCTCGTTCATTTCAGACATTGTGCAAGCGGCTCAACCTCTCCGCAAGGCGTTTTCGGCAAGATCGGAGCTACGCGGCCGTGAGGTTCTGCGCTTGCGCAAGCACCGTGCGCTTGCGTGACCTTGTGCGTGTGCGCGACCCCCAGACACCGCCTACCCCTCGGAGCGCTGATTGGGGGCCGGCAGCTCGCAGTTCCACCCCGGGAATGTTCCCGGGGCTCGCTGGTTGGCTTTCCGTGCGTTCGAACTTCAGACCTAGATGCTGTACGTGCAAGAGCATTGCTTGACCACTGCCTTACCTAACCGTTCTGCTGCTTACGATGCGATAAGCTTGAAAATACATGGCTCTGTAAGACCCCGTACTCCTCCTCCCTCATCGCCCCCCGCCTTTCTCTCCCTCTTTCTGCGCCTATTCTATCCCCCATCCCCAGGCAGTCGGTTTTATCTGTCTTTTATCTGTGCGCTAATGACCGCTAAATCCGCACTTCCAAACCACACGTTGTCAACCGCAGATCAACATATTTAGAATTTATCCATTCATCTCTCCTGTTTTTCTCATTTTAAAAAAAGTTAAATTCACAAATAAGCATATTATCGGTGTTCTTTAAAAAAACAGACAAGAAATACGTAGTCCCATTGCATTTCGCAGGAGATAAAGGTACACTGTTACCAGTTTGGTGTGTATTCTTTAAACCCTTTTTCTTTACTTTTACATGAATCTTTATGTCCTCGTGGAAAAAAAATCTTATTTTTTTTACGTGTCTTACATAATTGTCTTCAACTGACAAAATAAGCAAACAAAAAACCCTCATCAATGTCTTGAAGATTTACCTGTTAGTATACATAGACATATATTTTTTCATACTATTCTATTTGTATAGCTATACTGTAGTTGACCTAACTATGCACAAATAACTTTCTGTATTTTGATATTATAAACTATGCGTAATTGAACATCCACATGTGCCAGTATTTTTCTAGAATAAAAACCTAGAAGTGCAAAGGTGGAATTTTGGGGTATGCATACTTTGGTTTTTAGTGAATGTCAAATTGCTCTCAAAGTTGCTGTACAAATTTAAGCTCTAGCCAGCGGTGTCTGAGAATATCCACACCGTTACCAGACATGATTTTGTTGAACTTTAACAATTTTATCCATTTAATGCCGTCTTGTTTTATTTTTTATAGCCTTAATTTATTGGAGATTATCTTTCAATATGTTTATCGAACATTTCTATCAATATTACCTCTGAAAATTAAATGGTCTTATTTTGGGTTTATTTCTTTTTCTTATTGATATAGGACTTTCTTATAAACTCTGTATATGAATACTTTGTTTCACATGTTACAAATACATTCTCCCTCTTGTTTCTTGTTTTGGGGGTCTTATACAAAAGTTTAAAAATGGGTTTTCATGCAATCAAATCTAAGGGTTTCTTTCCTGTCTTTTTCTTTCTATTAAGATGGATTTACCTACCTCAGAAATCATAAGCATAATCTTTTATCTGTCTTCTAATGTTTGTATAGATCTTTTATGGATCGAACATTTATTTATAAATAGCATGAGGACAGGATTTATTTATATATTTTTTTCATATATGTAGCTAATTCAGCCACCTCCGCTAATTTAATCACTTGTCCTTTTGTCTGCTATTTGGTGCCACATCTATCATAGACTAAAAAACCACAAAAGTGTCAATCTGTTTTTAGACTTTGTAGTCTAATGAATTTCTATAGTTTTATAATATGTCTTAATAATAAGGAAAATCTTGTCTCTTTGTTCTTTAAAAAAATTGCCTTAGCTCTTCTTGCACATTTATTCTTCCAGTGTGAATTTTAGAAGTAGTTTGAAAAGTTTCCTGAATGGCATTGGTGGAATTGCATGGAATTTATAGATTAAATTGGGGGAGAATTGACATCTTTACGGTATTGTCTTCTCATCCATAAAGGTGATATATGTCTTTCTACTTGTTCAGGTCTTATTTGTACCCTTCAATGAAGTTTTCCAAAAAGTCTTATGTGATTCTTATTAGTTTTATACTTAGGTTCTCTTGTAAAATGTACCTTCCCCCTCTCCCCCATGCAGTGTCAAATTGGCTATTGCTAATACATGGGAATGACATTGAAATCTGTATATTGATTTTGTTTTTAGTAATCATTTTAAACTGAAACATAAATATAGAAAACATAAATATAGAGTAGTGCACAAATCATAAGTGTATAGCTTGATTATCACAAAATGAACATGTTTGTATAACCACTACCCAGATCAAGGAACACCATTTGCAAGATTCTAGAAAACCACTTGCTTTCTCTTCCTTTGCACCAAAAGTCACCACTATCCTGACCGCAAACAGAATGAAATACCTGCTGCTTTTGAACTTGATATAAATTCAACTGTGCAGTATACAATCTTTGTGACAGGTTTCTTTTTGCCCAAGAAATATATTGTTGCTATGTAGTAGCCCCTTGTTTGAATACCACAATGATCATTATTGGGATTGTTTCCAGTTTGGGGCTATTGTGAACAGGGCAGTGATTATCCTTATTGAGAAGATCTTTTGGTGTATGTATTTACACAGTTCTTTTGTATATACATCTAAGAGTAGGATTTCTTGGTCATCATATGTAAGCAGCTTCAGTAGATTCTGTTAAGCAAATCTGAAGACAGGATTAGCCAATTGGTGCATCGTTGTTTTAATGAACCCTCGAAACAGTATGACAAATACATCTCTGCAAGTTGGTCATTACACTGTGGTTTCCAAATAAGCAAGCCTAGAATCTCAAGTAAAAGAGACAATCTTCTTGGCTAACTAACGCAGTTCACTTGGATTGTCTTGCTTCATATCGAAAGTCTTAATATTAGTGCCTTAGTAAGAATACTTTTGGTGGCAGATGACTAAAACTCAATTCAAACTAACTTATATAAAATTAAATAAATAAAATAGAAAAAATACATAAAAACATAAAGGGATGGGGGGAATGTATTGGTTGAACTGATGAAACACACATTATCCCCTGACTTTTGACTGTTTTTAACTCTCAGCTCTGACTTTTCTCCAGAGGGAAAGCTTCATTTTCCAGCAGGCTTTTCCCACATGGCAGCAAAAGATGGCTCCTAGAAGCTTTGGGCTTATACTAAGGTCTTAAATGGCAGGGAGAGATGCATTCTATTATTCGTCTCAGTTCCTCCCCAAAGATGTTGATTGACTTTGCTGTATCCAGCGGGATGGTGTTTTCTGATTGGCTAGGCCTGGATCATGTATCCAGATGCAGGGAGAGGGGTTGTGAGATGGGCATCTCAAACCCACCTGAACCTCATGGTCTAAGTGAGATTATTATAGAAAGTGGATGGAGTGGTTTCCCAAGGCATGCCGAGCAGGCAAAAGCAAAACAAGCCAATGTATGTACGTTACTGTTAGATGGTGTGTAACTAGGTATAATTAGTTTCTAGCATTATACATGTTTAATTTGTTTATGTTTTCCAGATTATTGCAAATCATCATATGCAGTCTATTTCATTTGCTTCTGGAGGGGATCCGGTAAGTATGAATTCATAAAAGTTCTTTTGTGCCGCGGAGCGGCTGGGCCCGTGGGCCGTTGGCCGCTGGGCCTGCGCGTCTGGAGCCTGTGCTCCGCGGCGGGAGGGGCCTCAGCTGTGGGAGGCCCGCGTACCGCAAAAAAAAAAAAAAAAAAAAAAGTTCTTTTTATAAGAGTTAAAAGAACTTCCATGTAAAGCATATTAGCCACTACCTGTCGTTTCCAAATATCTTATTACAGTTTGTGAATAGCCACATGTAGCTGGTAATCAAAAATTTGGTTTTGACAGAATATTTCCTGTCACTGATTTTTTTTTAAGTATTTGGATTAGTAGATGAATTTATAATACTCCGTTGTGTTATTATCTGAGAAGCTTCTTGTAGATAATATCCAGTTCATAAAAAACAAGCATGTCATATGTGTTTTGCCGGTCCTCCCTCAGAATTCTTTTCAGCGCAGAGTTCCAGGCAGATCCTACTAACCAGCTGGATTTGGTATACAAGGGGAAGCCTATTTGCCATTCTAGCCGTCAACCAAGGCAACTAAATCTAATCCGAAACGAGCAACTAGGTTTGCAGAAACTCATGGAGGGAACGCTGAGCTGGGGAGAGAAAACTTGCAGTTCCTCCCTACCAAGAGGCCATGTGATGCTCATTTCCCATGAATTGTGCGGGACTGAGTCAGTGCTGTCCCTCCAAGCCTTCTTTGCAGAGTGGAGGGTCATTCCCTGACCTCCAACTGCATCCACTGTGGACCAGAGCAAAAGGAGAGGGTCACTGAAGCTAGGAAGCCTGTGACTGACCAAGAAACGAATCTGTTTAAACTGAGGGAGGAGGAGGAGGGTTTTGCTCCTCTGTGACATTGTGACATTTTTCTTGTACCTTGAAATATAGAGTTGACCCTTGAACAATGCAGGGATTGGGGGCCCCAATCTTCCACCAAGTCAAAAATCTTCATATGACTTACTGTGGGCCCTCCATATCCCCAGGTCCTCCATATCCGCCCTCCATCTGGCCTTGTAATCTGGCTTCAACAGCGACTCCAAGGATGTGTTTGGTAGCAGAGAGGGTTGACTGCCAGTCTGAAAAGGCCCACATTGTCTGTTACTTCTCTTCCTAACCCATTATAACTCAACCATCCATGAAGGAACTCGAATACTTTCCTTAAGCAATTTAAAGTAATGAGTTCTATAAGAGTAGTGTGAAAAATAATTGTTGCTGTTTGCCCTAAATTTTCCTTTTCAAGTTTCAATGATTGCTGTCATTTTAGAATTGGTATGAAAATCTTTATTTTACCCTAGGCATGCCCTGCGTGGTGTCTACCATAGTTCTCCAGAATCCTAATTCTTTTTAGACTGTCTTTATGTGCCTTCAGTTCTTTATTTCTTTTGACCAACCAAAGCACTGCCCCTACAAAGACAAACAGGAAAGAATTGTGGCCACTGTGGGAAAGTTTGTACCTACTGAATTGAGTGGCACCCTTGTGCTCTCTGCAGCTGGAGAGAGAGCCTGCTGGTTCTAAGTGGAAAACTGGAGTGACCAGAAGCCTTGGCATTAGAGGCCC